CTCAAACGCAGGAGTCTTCTTGCATGATGGATATATATCTGGAGCTCAAATGGACATGGTCACAGCATCATACCTGGACCTCCTGGCTGTCATTCGGTGAGCTGCTCTAGCAGGAGAGTTGATACACAGCTATTCAGCTTGTCCCTGTGATAGATATAAAATGGTGCTGCTGTACCTATGGCAACATCTCCAAAGTCAATTCACCTCATTCGGTTTTTATTTTCATTGCCTGGCAGCACTAGAAATTGACTGAAACATCTACACAGAGCTCATTTTCACAGCAAAACAGACCTAAGTGTCCAGCTCCTCTGCAATCTCTAAATTAAAGTTCTGTAACGTGAAATCTTAAATTATAAATCAAGAAATCCTGAACACTTTCTACCATTTGCAGTAGAGCGAAAGCAGGAAAATATGTAGTCAGAGCCGCACTGGCAGGAGGCAGCCACAGCAACCGATCACACACTGCAAAATCTGCTTAAGCCGCAGCTAATACAGCCTACTCTGTTGCCATGGCTGAGTTGCAACTAGTACCCAAACAATCCTGCCTATAGCTAGTTCAGATGCATCTGCTCAACACCATTTATTACCATCTACGTGAATTCTGAGACATGCTAAGGTTTTAACTTAGCACAACACTCACAAAGGCTTTTTGACAAAGGTTCGTCTTTCACTACTCAGTGCTGTTTGTTAAGAACAGATTAATTTATGGTGCAGAGAAGTGAGTTGCTACTATACGTAAAATTCTACTTAAGCCACCTCGAGAGAAACAAGAATACACCATAACCAAGAGCTGAACAGGACTGAGCCAAACAGCAAGCATTTTTAGAACTGATCGCAGAATTCAAGTTAAACAATAAGCTTAACATAATGTTTTCAAAAGCCTAACACATTGTCGTCTCTGGAATTCACTGCAACTTCTCTGTGCTAGTCCATGCCTTGTTAACAGGATTCAAGAATGGAGTGGGTATTTACCTGGGTAATTAGAGTCAGTTATTTACAATTAGTAGAAAGGATACAAACACTTCCCGGTCTGTAGCAAAAACCCAACCTTTCCCAAACCTCCAAACAGCCCTTCCCCAAAAGGAACCGGGAGATGCAAATGCCAACATTCGAGCAAACCGCTTTGCATCCCTGTACCTCAGGTGTGGGGTACAGCCAGCATGACTTCCTACACCCAGGACAATGGGAGGACGAGGAAGAAGAAACTATCTCCTGCTTAGAGAAGTTGCTGTCATTGCATACTTGTCCTTATGCTCTAGCTGTCTGTCGCTGGCTGCTGTCAGATTGGCCCCTGGGCTAGATGGGCCCTTGGTGCGGTTCAGGGTTCTTACTTTGTTCTTACAGACACAAAGAAAGTAGAAGACCTTGACACCCCATGATGAGGTAACAGAAATACTTAAGAGTAGATGAAGGTTGGAGATCAGCAAAGCACCTCACATCAATCTAGTCGGAACCTTATTCCATTTTGTAAGACAAACACATACAGCATAATTAAAACAAAACAAAACACTCGACAAAAGCCAAAAGCAAGAACTGGAAGAGTCTGCTGAGAAAACATCTGACATGAGATTGAGTCCTAAATTAGGGAACTAGGGACGGACCCCAGGTGATTACAAGACCCTGCAAATACCCATTCAACAGCACAGACAACTCAGGGTGTTAGTAGAACATGCCTCTGAGGAATTAAAACAAGCAGGATTTTCCACACAGCGTAGGCAAGGGGAAAAACAGGCACAAGCTTTTTAGGCTGACGAACCTGGTCAACTGACTTTCAAGTTTACCTTTGACTTATTTTCCTCCCTTACAAAGCAATACCCACATCAGTAATATGAATGTCACTCATCTACTCCACAGGAAGGATGCTGTTCCACTAGTGGATGCTTTTGACTTCACAGATAAGAGCTTGAATTCTGCGCTTGGCAGTTACGACGGACAGGTTTACCAACGGCTTTACGAGTGGGCTCAGAAGTCACCAACCAACAAGCAGGTATGGATGCTGGACTACAGCCAGGCAACTTCTGCTTTAGCCAGAGCAGAGTTGTTTGCTTTTCTTTTAATAAAATCAATACAGATAAAAGTGGAATAAGAGCCTTTAATTCTTAGTATCTCACTCTGAACAATGACCTGTGATACTCCAATTATGCCACCTATAGTCTTAGCTCAGACATTTAACCTAACAATGAATTACAGCCCCCAGAGTACTAGAGCTTGCACTTAGGAGCTGGACTGCCATGGGCCACCAATGTGGTTTTGGTTTTTAAACTTGTATCACTGAGGTAACATTGTACAAAATAAGCTAAAACAAGTCTGTTTACATAGTTTACATATTACAGAACAACACTAGATGGCTGCAAGAGCCACTAATTGCAGGGTATTTTCCATTCACTGGTATTTTTACTAGTGCAATACTTAATTTTTTTTTAATAATACGTTTAACCAGAAAGGGTGTAAATGTTAAACACGGCAATTTCATCCTTCATGGTCTTTAGCACTTGACTTTCACTTCTCAATTCATCCATACTGTGGAGTAATGTAAAATTCTGCATGATGCAAATAGCTATTGCTCTGTTTGAAAACTCATTTTGCCTTAAGTGAGATTTTTACTGTGATAATCAGCAACCCTTTGAAACTCTACAGCTGAACACAAAATTTGCCTTCAGCAAACATTCAAGTTCAAGCATATTTTTTGAAGTTAAATAGTATGCTGCTCCATTTGGGACCCGTATTGTGTATGGGTTATGAGGGACAGCACATACTATAAAACTGCATAGCTGAAGTAGCTAGCTGTTTGGGTTTTTTTAAGTAGTGTAGCTTTCTATATTTCAGAGGTCAGTCTTAAGAAAAAAATTATAGCCTTTTCGTTCTCCTTAATTACCTTCCACATTCTCCTTCTGAACAGATGAGCCCAGCCTATGAGAGGTATTTGAAGCCACTTCTTCACAACACGCTATCGAAATTATGAAGACCATGATCTACGTGAAGGCCACACATTTCCTCCTGTTATTTGTGTAGCAGTACATTCATGAAGCATCAGTAATGACTGATCAGAATTAATAATCAGTTGCTTACTCGCAGTTGCAACAAGTATGAAACAAGATTCTTAGCCAACCATTTCCATTTAATCAGGCAGAAGCCAAACAATGCTGAGTGGTACCCACTGCTATGAGGCAACCTAGTCAGAAAAAGCCTAAGGTTTGCTGTTTTCTAACCTGAAGTGTCCCGAGAGCATCAAAACTATGCCATTTGGCTTTCTTACTCTTTTTCTAAATCCACTGTATGACGATTAAGGGCGGGGAAAAAAAAAAAAAAAAAAAAAAAAAAAAAAAAAAAAAAAAAAAAAAAAAAAAAAAAAAAAAAAAAAAAAAAAAAAAAAAAAAAAAAAAAAAAAAAGAAGAAGAAAACCACCAACCACCACCAAAAAAACCCCCACCACTTTACTGAAAAACCCAAGGAAGGCAAAATTATGGTCCTCGGTTTCTAGGAGCAACTTGCTCTCTTAGATCAAGAAGTATATGAGAAAGTACACCTGTTTGGACAATTAAAATAGCTCGTAACTTGCTCAGCAGTGGAGTATTCCTGGCTAATAGATTCAGACAAAGCTGATGCCAACTCCAATCTGCAGAATTTACTTTCCCGTTAATAGAGCCGCTCATATTGTCTTTCTGTAAATCTTGGGCTCCAATAAAGTGTATTATTTGGAACACTGCTTCTCTAATTATTATACTTTATAATTATGGAAAGGGCAGGCTGATCCAGGCCAGTTATTAATTTGCTAGTAAATTAAGCGTTGCAAAGAACATCTTGTGATTATAATTCAATGCCAGTTAACACAGATACTTCTTACCACGTGTTGCAGGAAGGAAACAAAAGCTGAACTGATGAAGCTCAGGAAAAGCGGTTGTTTCACCCCTTACAGGAAGAATAAAGCTCTTACTACCTCTTATTGCAAAAGTCAAAACCCCTACAGCATATGAAGAGAGGGATACAAAATATGACAAATACACCCCTGAGACAGGCCTTCTGAGTGAGAGATGGGATGGAAAGCTCCCGCCTTCAAGAACCAGCAGCTACCACAGAAATCCAGACCCCCTCTTAAATCCCCAAAGAGCTGTGGTCCGCACAGCCCAGAGAGCAAAGCAGGTGTGGTGACAAGAACACTTGTGACAAGAACTTCACAGGAGAACAAGATCCATTCATCAAAATGGATATCAATTCTCTTACTCCCCACAGCATTCAAGTTAGAGCATAACCAGAAATTCTATTAATAACTATGACAAAGTGCCGTTTCTGCTTATCTTGGGCTAATCAAAATTGAGTAAAACCACAGAGCTTGAGTGCCTTGACTTGAACATCATTAGAAACAGCACTCTACAGTTAAAATTATATACATAACGTCACTAGATAAATCGCTGACAAACCAGACAACACTACTTAGCAGCTACAAGTATTTAGGCTCTGTGTTCCCTCCATCCCTGTCCCTTTAGCCGGTACAAATACTTGCCATCCTTTTGTTAGTCATAATGCAGTTTTCAAAACACAAGCTTTTTCTATAATGAGGACAGTTGAATCAACTGATTAAGAGAAAAAGGAACAAAGTACATCAGTAATGGAGTAGAATGAAGCCCTACCTGAGCATCTGTACTACTCTGCAGAACGGAAAAACAGGTTTTGGGCGGCTTTTTTTGGTTGGTTGGGTTGGGTTTTTTAAGTATTAGAGTTCTAGAAGACAAAAAAAAATACAAAATAGTATTCTGTATTTCACATTTTTATTAGCTTCTTGCTGGCAGGCATTACATTTGGGAATAATATTGCACCAGGCATTAAAAATATGAATTCTACCACAGGGACATTTTGCATTTAGAATCCAATATAAATATTTCTAATCATATTTCCATGGCTACAGATAATATTTGGTTGCTTGATTTATATGCATAGAAATAAACAGTTGTCATAACTGTAAGAAACTGTACTTATCAAGTACTTTTAAAGGGTGGGATTTGTTTTCCTAGAATATTACAATACTGTTTATTGATTTAGAAACTAAATTAGTCTACATGATAGCAGCTTTTCCCCAACCGCATCTTAAATTCTGTTTGTTTCTTGCTCCCAGTATCGTAGCATTAGATGGATTAGAAGCCTTTTAAACGGAGGTAATTTTAGCACTTTAAGTTGCATCAGAGAATTGTGTTAATGACACAAAATACCCTATTGTACTAATTCCTCGGACTCCCTCTTTCAAACAAAAAGGTGTCTTGACTGAACAGGCACATGCATGTTTTTTTCTGAACAGGACAAAAGGACAGAGCTGCTAGAGAACGAAACTCCTCCAGTCCTTACTGATAAACAATAAATAGTCGTATAAAAAAAAGCCCACATTGTTGCATTAGTCAAAATCCAGACTTTCTTGGGTTTACTGTCCAATTAAGTTGCTAATCACTGAAGTGGCTCCTGTAGAGTCAGAATCAGTCATCTGTTTTCCGTGCCAGTCTACAGAAAGTCCAGTTATGCTCCACTGTGTTTTCATTGGCACGCTCGCTCATATGATGAACTCTGGTATTCCTGATCGTGAAGCCTTGCTTTGTGATGTACTCCATCAGATGCACTCTGAGCGACACTTCCTGGTGGTAATCGCATGGCCCAAAAGTGAAGGAAACCTGGCAGTCCCTGGTGTCCATCATATGCTTATTCCACTTTGTGAAGTGGTTTGAAATGCCTTCCAGTAACGAATGGACTTTCGTCGTGATAGTGAGTTGCGTGATGATTACAGCCACCGGGTTGGAGTACTTGGAAAGCTTCCGGGTGCTGGACAGCTCCACCACCTCCTCAAAGGTATCCACGGGATACAGTGGCTTGGGGTCATTAAGACACTGAATTAGCGGTTCGATCTGATAGAAGTCCGCTTCCTTCCGAAGTAGGTCGAACTCCTTGAAGTCCAGTGGCAAAGTGAGCTCTGAGGTCCTTAAAAAGTTAAGAACATAACGGAAAAGTGGTCCATCTCTGTCAATAAAGTAATTGCCCTGAGAGTCCCTGGCAGTGGGGAAGTCTCCCCTGAACATGGCCCCAAGCATTGAGTCAGGATATCTCGTTAGAGTTGTAAGGGATGTCGTATACATGTGTCCACCCACATTTAGCGTGACTGGATCAGTCATCTAGAAAGAGAGAAATTGCAGAGTTTATCAAGCCACCACAAGAAGATTCAATCACCTCACTGACACACATGGCAAATACTGTTTGAAAACTGCAGGTCTGGAGAGAATCACGCTTCTCCCATTTGAAGCCTTTAAGTGGTGTTTAAACCTGAACAAATCCAAGCCACCTAGCAACAAGGCACAACTGGCAACTAGACAGGATGATACTTAACATTCAGAACGCGCATTTCCAGAATGCTTTAGAAATCTTAACAACTGAGCTACTGTCACAGAAGTAAGTTTTGCATTTGGGCAACAAGTTTTCTTCCTATTCTACAGATGGGGAAATGAGAACAGAGAGATTTCCTGAAGAACAAGTTAGTCTGAATGAGGCCCGTCAGTGCTCCTTACTTTCACAATCTGTTTCTCATTCTTGAACAAAAAAAAGAAAGAAGGGGGGGAAAAAAAAAATAAAAAATCAGCTGAACAAGTCTTAAGCCTCTCTCTCTCTCTTTCAAAAGAGGATGACAGTGCAGTTTAGACACAGGACCAAGAGCTCACAATCAAAATAATCCAAGCACTGGTTAAGAGACATCATCAAAACAAGCAAACAAAAAAACTTTCAGCTTTTAACTCTAAAAAGAAATATTTATTAGCAAATTAGCATGCTGCATAGAAGAAGGGGGCAGAGCACAAACCAGTCTGCATCAGCTTCCAGATAGCACATGAGGAAGCAAGAGAGAAAGGAACATAAATCCCATCTGGCCACCAACCCTAACAACCAGGACTGAGGCCAGCCAGAGAAAAGAGATGTATGCATGGCAGCAGAATGTTTAGATAAAGAGGAGAAAAATAAGATGTGCTTGTCTAGTTTGAAACAGGGTTTACAAGGAAAAATATTTTCTTTTTAAATAAAATGACAAAGTCCTTAAAATTATATGCAGGAAGCACAAACTACTTTCAGCCTTTCTGTGTTAGGAAAATGTTAACAGTGAGCTTAAGGTGTCAGTTAAGCACTCACTGATTGTACCTAGGAAATACGAATCTGAGCTCTCCCCACAAATAGCATGTGAGGTGAAGCACTCCAGAGAATGTAAGCAAGCTGTCATAATACGCACCGTTTTTCTTCTCACATGAGTGAAGCTCTGGATCTACACAAGACAGATCTGGAAGGATCGTTACCGCCTGATCTTGAAAGCCCAGTTGTACCGCACAGCGCACACTCACAGAGGCTCACTTACCATATATCCCCAGTCTCCATTATCCATCTGTTCAATTGCTTGAACCGTGGTATTCCAAGTTTAACAGAAGGCTGTTGAAAGGATACGCAATTCACCTCTTATTATCTCCCTGCAGGAAAAATCACACACAAAAAACACAAAACAAAGAACAAAACATGGCAGACCATCAGTACCTACAAGAACCACCGAGGAGAATGCTTTCTAATCAAAGGCAGTCTCTCTGCCAGGAGAGCATTCAGCCACAAAGCCACATTAGCAGGAGAATCTACAAACGAGCTTTTCCCTCCTTCTCCCTTCACGCTACCCACAGGACTGCATCCGGAGCAACGGGTAACCACTCCACCAGCTGTCTGACCATCCCAGTTTCGTTAAATAGCAAGCAATGTGTCTCTGAGAATAAGGTACGATCACAAATGGACTACCTTTCACCTGGGAAACTGTGAGTACTTTGAAGGACAGATGTCCTTTTCCCAATTAAAAAAAGTTTATTTAGTCACCATTGAGATCATACATGTGATCCATTAATATTAGTCAAAATTCTCATGCTCCAGTTTCAAACTGCGCAGAAGAATAAATCAAGCAAGAAAGTCAATGAACAGTAAGAAGAAAAAAAAAAATCTCACTGCAGAATTAATAATTCAGTAGTGGAGAACTGCAATTGATAGCAAGAACATTAATCTACAGACAAAGAGTACGAATGGACTTCACAGACACATACACACTCTGGAAAGAAATCTCTTTAGGGACAAGCCAGAGGACATCAAGCACGTTTTCAACAGCACTCCAGCAAAAGCAATTTGAGAAGTGGTTCGTGCTGTAACTTCCCAGAAGATGCTGAACTGCTGACTTGCATAACAAGGGGACTCTCTCCACGCGAGCGCAGCAAGGGAAATCCACAGCCCAGCTTGTGCAACTCAAGCAGGGGGAAGCAACGACCCCAGACGCCATTGGAGATTTTCCAAAGGTGGCCAAAACCAGCACACTATGTCAAGCAATGCAGGGACAGGGAAGCCAGTTGTCAGTAAGCCTTTATCCCAAGCCAGAGCCTGCCTCTCTGTTAGAATTGCTGAAAATTTAGGTCAGTCTGTTTTAAGCAGGGTACAGCTTCTCAGCTTTGTTTATTTTTACATCTTAAAGACCACACAGTTAACAAGACTTCTGCTCCTGTTTACCAGCAAACTTCAACGCACAGTCACCCAGCTAAAAGCAGCGCGAATATTTAGCCGAGCCAGAGCCCTACATTCCAAAACAACTGAAGGTTCACAGTTAATTCCCAACCAAAAAGATTACTTGCCCTTTTCACTCCTAGCAAACGAGGTCGGTCTCATTCACCACAGAACAAGGCAGCACACCCCACCTCTCTGGGCTCTGCTACCCTGCCCAAACCCACAACCTGGGCACAAGAGCATCCAGGAGGTCAGGCCTTCGGGGGCCGGCAGCACGAGCACAGCCTCAGCTGCATCTCAGATGTATTAAAGAGTAGCAAAAACAACATCAGCATACGAAAATCGTGAGGTCAGACAACAGAAGATTAAGGAATACCAAGATACAGAACTAGTCACACCAGGATGCTCTTTTTTACAAATTAGAGACAGAGTATGCCTCAAGAAAGTACATTAAAGCACACCCCCTGACAGCAGATAAACCTGGAATGCCAGCTCTTTTGCCAACCTCTGTAATTACTTTTTTTAACTGCTCACAAATCAAGAAGTGAATTCATTCAGGTTTTCTTTATTTGGAATTGTCATTCAAGTACAGCTCATTAACTTTTATCAACAGCCCACACCTTTTAAATTCCAGCACTTATAAGTGTTATTCTGGTCAAGTACACCACCAGTATAACATGCAGATGCATTAAAACCATAGGAGAGACTGGTACAGGTTTCTGATATTCAAGGAAAACATTCACTTGAAAGTGAAATGATGCAGCCAGACAGAAACTTCACTGATGATCATGATAGAAGAGATTTGCAGTCTTAATAAAATTAATTGGAATTATACATTTAGAATATTTCAAAGACAGACAGATGTCCATCAGAGCAATTTAAACTGGTGGACAGATACTATGTTATTTTGGTCAGCATCTAAGTCCACACTACAGATGAATCAAGTCTTTCTTTATCAGGGAAAGAAACAGATGACACCGCCTGTTGGTATGAGGGCATGAACTAATCTTTGATCACAGCACTGCTACGTAACACCGGAGTGAATAATTTACGAGAGCAATTAGCTGAAACAAACCCAGCCCTCAACACATAAGCGGCATTGAGAAGTCTCACTGACCTTTGTGTAAGGACCCAGAATCACTAGGCACGCACAAACCTCCCTGGCAACGCCAGCACTAGAGTGAGATGCACAATGCAAAGGGATGATACCAAGAGGCCATCCTAAAATGCCCGAGTGTGATCACAACTACCCGCTGCTACCCTCATCAGCCTGAGAGCTCTGGATTTCTAGACAACTTCACAGGCAAAAATAGCTCTGTTCAGGTACAACCTGAGATAAGAACTAGCAAGCCACATCACAACAAGGGTGGGGACGTACGCCCTTCGTGACATATACCCTTTCAACGATGCTTTAAATTCTTCCTGAATGAAATATAGTGCATCGATTGGGGTGGGCAGACACTCACTCCATCCGTACCCCGGACTGGGCAGCCTCCAGCCAGCTCTTGTCCCTGTGTCACGCAACAACATACCGCACCCAGGGACAGCCTCGCTAACATGGCTACTCGTGTCCAGACAGCAGGTAACAGACAACATGCAGCCGTATCCCAAGACAGCCTGCCTTTAATAACCATAAGAAATACTCATTTAAGATTAAATTCAGCCAGACAAACTGCTGACACCATTTAAGCCAAACAAGATGTCATTCTCTTGTGAGAGCAAAAGTGCACTGATTATGTCAAACCACAGTCCTGCTTTCGTTAAGCTGCTTCTGCGAGCAGGGAGCATTAGCATGGTCATCACAGCTGCTGCCGTAGCCCAGCACCGAGCACATCCAAAATGAAAAGCGAGTACCTTTGAAGAAAAGCACTCAAGTCATCACTTTATACTAAAACACCAAATTGGATACCTGCGTTTATAAAATGCTCACTCTTATTTCATATACTATGACTCACAGGATTACAAGGCTATTTACCAGCAACACTACTGCAACAGGTAGTCCCATTAACTTCAGCAGGGCTTCTCCCAGAACAGAGCTGCTAACGTGCAACCATTTTGCAAGCTGAAATTCAGAGAAAGCAAATGAGAGTCAGCTGAACATCTGCATATGTGAACACACACACACGGGCTCAGGACAGGCCAGGGGATGCCAGCAGCACTGCCAAGCGTTTGCACTGCTGGGACCACGCGCGCTGCATTTGGTCAAGGCCACAGGCTACACAACGCGCCAGGAGAAAATCATAGTGTTTGTGTCATATGCAGTTACTTAAAGGAGGATCACCTAACAGTTAAAAGTCAAGAGGCACAGACCACCTGATTTGCTCTGAATGTTTTTCATCTAGGTTTTCCAACAAAAGAATTAAAGGATTTACTGGTGGCACTAGTCTTTAATGGACAGTTTGGTATCAATATTACAACACAAGCTGTTTAACCTCCACACAAACTGTTTAACCTCAATAGTTACCTTGGATTTCTAGGTCAGTATAGAGTTGACAAGAACTCTACAAATGGCAACTTAAAAATTAAAAAGAGCAAAGCTAGGACTCTGCTTATACAGATAAATATACTTGGTATTTCAAGCTACTCACCCACTTAGTGAGCTCCCTGCTTCTCACATTTAGATCTCCAAAGATGAGAAAAAGAAACTCCTGCCCTCAGCACAGCTATGCTGTACATGGACCTCTCTATTCCCCAGCTAGTCATAACATTTGAAAGGCAAGTTTTTATTGTAAATCATTACTGGTGACTCACCTGAACTGACAAAAACTAAGCTAGCACCAGTGATGACTGTACTCCACCAACTGTACAGCGAGACTATAGTCTGCAGATCAAATCCATGAGGATCCAGCACCGTGCTACCCTAAACAAGGGACCAAGGAGGAGGCAAGCTCTTAAAACAACCGGTTACCGAATCTTCTGATAATTCAGCCGATCAGCTTCACTAAAGAAAGCATCCATCACCTTCTACACATGTCAAGTTTATAATGACTAATACAGTTTATTAAAAATTAACTTAGTTCTTGCTTTTCTTTAGTTGCTTTCTACCAACACTTAGTCTTCACCTCAGGCAGGAGGGAAAAACGCTCACACTAGCCATTCAGCATTTTCACTCCTTTATGTCTAATTGCTTCACTATAAAGTCCAAGCTCCTGAAGTTTCCTTCCCTCCCCTGAGGAGCTCTATGACATCCTGGTTTAAGTCCAGGTTCCAAACTTGTATTAACTGCTATTTGTTTGAAATGCCCACATCACGATGTTACTTTGGCCCTCCTCTCACAAGAGCCGAAAGAAGACACTTGTATCTAGCCTGGTCCTGCTG